GGAAACAATGGATATCCCAATGAATGGATGCGTGATTTTTGGTCACGTTTCCGGTCATTGATTTATCGTATTATTATTTCTCAAACCTATCTCTCCGTTCATTTTATTTATATTTTATGAAATAAATATCATATAAAACACAAATTAATTGCAAATAAAGAGATATTTAATTGAATTGAAATTAAAATAATTTTAAATACAAAGAATATATTGAGGAAATAAAACAAAGCTTAACTTTGTCACAGAATTTAATTGTGATAATTTTAAAAATAAAAATATTTATAGTTAACACAAATTTTAATATGTACTTTATATTTAAATTATAAATTAATGTAATGACTTTAAATATTCACAATCAGATTACATTATGATATTTCATAACTTATACTATAACTCTTAAAGGGATTTCACAATTGGGCAGCAACTTAATTTCAATATTAATGTAACATTTTGTATAACAATTTATATAACAAGTACATTTCTTAACATGTATATAAACGCTCAAGTTAAAAAAGTTTCTATAAATAAAAGTTTATTATGAATTTTATTTAATCAAATAAATAATAGTGACCATGATGACATACAGTGACAAAACTAATCCCACATATATTATCCGGGAAATACAATTGTCTGATTGCGATGGCGTTTGAGAAATAAGACAATCCATTGGTTTAGATATATTGAAATACATCAATGAAGTGATGATCACAACGGATCCAAAGGGCATATTTGTAGCCCAAGACATCACTACTGGTAAATAACTTAGAATATAATGTAAAATGAATTACAATACACTTATCATTATTCAATAAACAGGTAAATTACTGGGAGTTTGTAATGGCTTTAAGTTGTCGCCCGAGTTGGCACATGTGGGCCAGTTTGCGGTTATACCGGAATATAGAGGTTTAGGAGTCGGCAAATCTCTTTGGGATAAAACTATTGAATATATGGGCGACAGAAACGTTTGATTTATTACGCTTACATTCCTGGGCACCAGAAACTAAGGAGTATTATAATTGAATGATTACTTATATTAAAGTAAATTCTACGCAAAACACAAGCAATTCTATAGAAATGTATTGAAAGTATGGACACAATTGTTGTACAACTCATATATTAGTTCTCGATTTGTATACTTTCTCGCGATTGTTGTAAATCATTAAATGTTTGAAAATAGCTTTCAATAAAAAATAACCGTTAATACAGTTATTGTTTTTTAAAATAGATTATTAAATCCAGAATTCATTTGCAAATAGTATTCAAAAAATTTAAAGAAGTGTTAAAGAAATTAAACGCAAAGACATGAATGAAATAAATATCAGAAGAAGACATGTCATGAATGATGACATTATGTTAGATATATTCAAGCGATTGGATATCAAAGACTTGTTTTCATTACAACGAGTGTCACAACAGTTCAGCCGTTGTTCACAACAAGTGCTGCAGAAGAAGAGAGAAGTGAGCGTTGGATTCGTTGATCTAAAAACAGAATCAAAAATAAGATGCTTTAAACCAAACTTTGAAATCAAAGACTGGAATCGATTAGACATCACACCAGCGATTAGTTTCACACATTTTAATTTGGTATTAAATCACAACCGAAACAAAAATATGGAGTCAATTGTCCGCCAATTCCGAGACGTGAAGAAGTTATATCTGTCCACAACTGTCATCAGTTTCAAGACATTAGAGCTGATCGTCAATCAGTGGCCACATCTCGAAGAGCTCTTAGTCTATTACATCGATATCTATGACTCGAGTGACAAGACTATCACCGAATGGACACAACTTCTCTCTAAAGTCAAACACATTACTATCGGTGGTATTGGTAGAAAATATGTGTCACTTCTCGCAGATATTATCAAAGACTTGCCATCACTTCAAAGTGTAAATGTCAGGGGTTTGATGTCAAAGGCTTCCGCCCCGATCATCACATTATCATTACTGACACATTGTTTGTCGACAAACATCCGATGCCTAATCATAGGCGTGACATTAGAGGACAGTCACGCTCTGGATGTGATTACAAGTAAATGCACGCAAATTAAAAAACTATCCATTTCTCAGTCCTATAGACTAGAAAATGTCACCGATTTTGATCTCTGGAACCAATGGTTTGCAATGGTTTGCGATCGACTTAAAGCACTCACTTATTTCAAGATTCCTTTAGTCGTCAATTCCGCCAAAGAATTTGCCAAAAGTATCGCAAAACTAAATAAATTACAAATACTTGAGATTCGTTTCGTTGTGTTTGATGGGGAGTTTCCGAGAATGTGTTTCGACACTCAAGAGATGGCCAAACATATGCAGCCAATGGTGTCGTTGAAGACACTATCACTGGACGGATTCAAATGTTCACCAAATCGGTGGTCAAATTTTTCCCAACTTTTCCCGAATGTTCGCCAATTGACTGTCGATTTCATGTTTTATCGCATGGATTGCACGGAAGGAGACGATTGTAATCTATGTTTCTATCGGTGTATGGATTGCGTGTCAAAACTGCCGAAATTGAAACACATTTGTTTCAGTTTTGTTATTTACGGTAACATCGACAGACATATACTGGAACTGTTTGCAAGTGTGGATCAGCTCACCATTGATGAGCACTTGGATGAAAATATGATAGATGAGTTGATCCACTTTATAGTCTTCACACTCGACAATAGGCGCCGTGTATTCCGATTGAATTTGTTGTCTTATTTCAAGAGACAAGTGATACGAAGGATGGAAGAAATGGGTCTCCAAATGAATGGATGTGTGATTTTAGGCCACGTTTTCAGGCAATGATTTATTATATTATTTATCAAATCAATTTCTCCGTTCATTTCATTTATGTTTTATGAAATAAATATTATTTAAAACACAAATTAATTGCAAATAAAGAGATCTTTAATTGGATTGAAATTAAAATAATTTTAAATACAAAGAATATATTGAGGAAATAAAACAAAGCTTAACTTTGTCACAGAATTTAATTGTGATAATTTTAAAATTAAAAATATTTATAATTAACACAAAGGACAAAGTTCAATGTAAATTGGTAAAATGCCAAAAAAATTATATTAATTTTTTTATTTGTTTTTAATTTGCGAAATTAATTATCATTGTAAGCATAATTTAAATTGATATAAATTATGTACAGTAATTACGTTAATCAATATAAAAAACTTGCAAACATGTTACAAAATTTCTTAATTTTGATATAACTTTTACCCATGATGTCAGATTTGGGAAATTCCTTCTGATTTCGATTTCTCTCATCCATACCTTTCCATTTATATACAATATGACATATTTATTCATAAAATACAAGATTTGATATTCAAATTTTCCCCGATAAAAGTGGTCACTGCGGCTAAACCCGAGCTTGTCTGGCCAAATAAATTATACCACCGTACTTCCTACAGAGTGTACTTTCGATTTATAACTACAATTCCCGGGTGCACTTTGGGCATTATTTGAACATTATTATTTCAATATGTATTTTATAATTAAATTATAAGTTAATGTAATTCCCTTTAAATATTTACAATCTGATTACTTTATGATATTTCATAACTTATTCTATAAGTCTTAAAGGGATTTCACAATTTGGCAGCGACTTCACTGCAAAATTAATGTAACATATTGTATAACAATTTATATAACAAGTACATTTCTTAACATGTATATAAAGTTTATATAAAGTTTATCTTATAAACGCTCAAGTTAAAAAAAAGTTTCTATAAATAAAAGTTTATTATGAATTTTATTTAATTGAATAAATAATAGTGACCATGATGACATACAGTGACAAAACTAATCTCACATATATTATACGGGAAATACAATTGTCTGATTGCGATGCCGTCCGAGAAATAAGACAATCCATTGGTTTAGATATATTTAAATACATCAATGAAGTGATGATCACAACGGATTCAAAGGGCATATTTGTAGCCCAAGACATCGTTTCTGGTAAATAAAATATAATCAAAAATGAATACCAATAAACTGACCATATATTCAATAAACAGGTCAATTACTGGGAGTTTGTAATGGCTTTAATTTGTCGCCCGAGTTGGCACATGTGGGCCAGTTTGCGGTTATACCGGAATACAGAGGTTTAGGAGTCGGCAAATCTCTTTGGGATAAAACAATTGAATATATGGGCGACAGAAACATCTCTTTATTTGCCGCCAATGAGAAAGTGTACGACATTTATCAAAATAAATATAATTTTAAAACAGTTCCCAAACGAAATATCCTTCGTTTCAAAGGCAAACCTATGGTCAACGGTTTGACGGCTAGTATTCACGGCATGTGTTTGGTTGACATGAATGATAACAATATCGCGGATGTGATTGAATACGACAAACAGGTCTGCGATGGACTCGACAGGAGTGTAATGCTTACAGCACTTTATAAAACACCAAATACTATAAACTCTGTGGCCATTAATAATAGCACTAATCAAGTGATGGGCTATTGTTTTATAGTCGAGAGCCTATTTGGTCAGTCACTCGTTGCCCCACTTTATGCCGATAATCAACAAATCGCTGAATTATTACTTCATAATTGTTGTAAATCTATTACCGATACCAATGCTAATGATTTATGGTATTCGTGTTGGGATTCAAACCATAATGCATTAGAAATCGCAGAAAAGTTAGGTTTAAAACAAGTGTTGGGAATGAGAATAATGTTTACAAAGAAAATAATTGATGGTCAATTAGATAAAATCTACTCGGTCACATTTACTACTTGTTACCCATTTTAAATGAATTTAATTGTATATTACTTTAAGTTTAATAAATGTTTATTTTACATGAATCAAATAAATAATATATTTACATTTAAAGTTGTTATTTATTGCAAAAACTTACGAATTAGCATAAACTTACAAAGTGTAGAATAAATATTCTAAATGCTGAGTATTAGAATAAGTTCTATTGATTTTATATAAAAAGTCCATTTTTAAATTTCTAAATGTACATGATTAAAAGCGTAAACATTGATAGAGCTAACTCATGTTATATCGTACAGTTCTTTAACAAGTGGTCCAAAATATTGCTCGTATTGCTTAAAATCTCCAATACCTACCATTTTATTAAATTCAATTATTTTGTAGACATCTGTCAAAGTGTTCATTAATTTGCATAACTTTTCCTCTGATTCCCCTTCCGATTGACATTTCAATAGTAGATATCTTTGCAGTAAATATATATATAATTGCTGTTCGAGTCTATGAAATGATATAAATAATTAGCTGTTAATTTACTACAATAAACAATGCGATATTTGTTTGATAATATTATATCTTACTTGATATTATGTCTGTGTTTTAAGTTTGGTCGATTAGGGTTAAATAATACGATTGCATTTAGCTGGAAAAAATAAAATGTATAATTATAACAAACTACCAATTTACTATTAATTGTAATATTCTTTGACATTTATAAATAGCTTGATTATTTTAAAAAAGTAACAAGAGCATTTACCAACTCCATGATAACGGGATCCTTGTTCCACGCTGGCAATATTTTCGATATAAATTCACCAAATAGCTCTTGGTACAATAAGAAATACTGTGCAAAATCACTCTCAAACATATTAAAACTAACTACTATTGACGTCTCGTTATCCTATTCATAAATCATGGCAATCATTAATACACAATAATAATTGTACCGTAAATTAATTATACTTACAATATACACGGTAAAACTTTTACGTTCATGGTCGTAATACATGACACACCTAATCATTTGCATTTCACCGACACCGGCCTTAAACAGGGTGTACTGGTCTTCGGGACATACGGTGGTGAACGGACTCAAGCTCTTGGTGTAGGCCATCACCTCTTTAATACTCTCTTCGGTCCTCTGGCCGTGAATTGTCAACAACTTATGTTTGTCCAGAATTTTGATCAGATTCTTAGAGGACGGGTAGTTGAATATCTGTGAGGCCGACATGAGCTCCGCTATCCTAATGGTCTCCAAATCATTGAAACCCTTGTAGTCGACGAGTCCTTTGCACAGAGGAATGACCGCCATTTGCCGCGACCTCTGGTCCGCGCACTCGAGCCGCCGGTCGACCAAACTATTGGCGATAAAGCCCTCGATTTCGGTGATCTGTTCCGTCAGCTCTTCGTCGCTCATATCCAATACGCCGTCGATTATGTCGGACAGGGATTCGGTGTCAACGCAGTCCTCGTCCTCGTCGTTGTCGACGGGAATTGTGGTCGCATTTGAGGGCGGATTTGATGACTCGGTTTGCGAGACATAATCATCACAACTATTGTTATTATCATTGCTTTCTTTGAGTTGATTTCGTTTACGTCTATTCTCTTCAATCAGACGTCTTCTGGACTCTCTTTCTTCGGCGCTTCGGATGAATTCCTGGAGATTTACAGACAATTAATAGAAGAATTTTAATCAATAATAATTAAATTAATATAATTATAAACTCTTAAAATAATTCCTACTTTTTTCATTCCCATTTCAAAGCACTTATTAAGCCTACAGTTTTGACACAACTTTCTGGTGTTTAGGTTTATTCTGCACTTTCCCTCCGAAGGGCACTCCAATACCTATCCATTCATTGAAATTCAATTATAATTACTGTTATTTTATTGTATTGTTTATCATATCAATCAATGTCTTCGCCATTACCTTCTTCTTAAGCGCATTCCTACGAAAGAACGCTTTACACGACTCACAAGTAATTGCACCGAAATGTCGGCCTAAATGACAATTATGTTTATTAAATATAAAATATAATGTTAAATAAAATTATCATAATGATAAAACGAAATAATTTCTATACCTATTCCTAATTCACCACAAATCTGGCATATTTTATCCACTTTATCCTTCATGGTATTAATCAACACTTAATGATTGTCACAATTATGTTAAAAAAATAAATTATGTAAAGTATTAACTTGTTAATTTTAGTAACAATTTAAAGTTTATTGTAATTATTTCAAACAAACAGTGAATTGAATTGTTTTATACACTTTCAACGCATTAGAGGAAGTTTTTGTTCACATAAATATTTTATAGTTTTAATTCACAATTAATTAATTTGTTTAGTATTTCCACAAAAACATTATGATTTTGTTGTAAATAACAGCAAAATATTTCGTAATCAAAATCACTGATGAAATACAGATATCCTGTTGTTAATGGTTTGGGAGTATATTTTCAGACCTGATAAACAACTATTTGATTGCCTCTCTTATCAGCAATTCATTGCAATTAAGATATATTTTACACCATTTTTAGTATAAATCAGATAAACTCTGCCATAAATTACATTAGATTTAGTAATATTTAGTTATTTTACAAATATTTTCACACAATTGGTTAATAAAATTTAATTTTGTAGTTTATTCAATTGAATTATAATCTATTACGATTGATTTATTATGAATGACAATTTATACAGTATTATACAAACTCTTTGTTATTTATTTAACTAAACAGATTTCAAGGCAAACCACTATTTAATTACAATAGAGTAAATTTTATCTTTACACCTACCTACATTAAATATCAATTATTAGTTTATTTTTACCAATATGAAAGTACATTTAATTTGATTCTCGCGATTTAATTATTATTTATGAATGGATAAAGTTAAATTTATTTATTTTTAATTAATTGGAATTATACTATTAGCTTATTCAGCTATTTAAAAACATTGCATGTGAATAGTATATAATTTATTTATTTTTAATAAAAGCTATATTTTAATACAATATTAAACTCAAATATTATTATTAACACGATTAAAAATTTGCACAAATTTTTATAATTAAGGTTAAAATATTTATAAAATTATAGATCTGTTTACTTTTTACTAAATATAAAGTTTTGATAAACAATTTATAAGTTTTAACAACAGACTGTAAAGTTTTATTAACTCAAAATATTACCATTGTAAAGCATTAATAACAATTAATACTTATGGTGAGTTGTGAACACATTTCTAAAGTTGTAATAAATTAACCAATCAGTAAATACTTAAAATTTACTTTAAATTTTATACCAAATTCTTGTTATTTATATAAAATTTTACGAGTTTTGGTGTATTTGCCATAAATTCTTTGACCGCCGGTTCAGTAAACGTTAATTTGGTTTTAAAAAACTTGATTGTCTCTAAATTTGACAATTTTTGCAACGAGTTTAGCGTTAAATCCGTTATCAACGCATAGGAAACGCAAAGCGATTGAAGTTTTGGTAAATTGTGGTCAATATCGGCGAAGAAGCGGTCGTTTATCACTTGATTGTAACCATAATTATATGAATTGATTGTTAAATGAGTTAAACGTTTTAAACACTTGAGTGACTGACAGTCGAGAGAGCCGTCATCTTCGGAGACATCGAAACTGATCTCAAGACGTCTCAAGTGTTGGAAGTGTTTGATTGTGTCAAATGTCTTGTAGAGTAGGGACGGCTCGGGACTGACCCGAAGGCAGAGGGACTTCAGTTGCGGACAGTTTCTTGAAATGTTGACAAACGTGTCGTCGAGCGCCGGATTGGCGATCACGTCGTGGACCTGATGTCCGCACCACTCGTTGTAATACGTGATCTCAAGACACACTAAAGACGTCAATTGGCACAGACTGTGGATCAGACTCTTGGCGGCCGTTGGCGTCAATTCGCTGCAAATCACGTGAACCGCTCGCAGCGATCGGTTTCGCGCGATCACCCGCTGGAACCGTTCCGTATCGTCGTTTCTGAACATGAACTCAATTTGTCGCAAACCGGAGACAACACACTGACCACCGATGGCTGTGTCGTCGATAATGTGCGACAAAAACACATTCTTCACGTTAAGTCTACGCAATCGATAGCAGAGTTTGAGTGTCTGGCGAAACACCAGAAGATTGCTGGCGTCGAGAGCTGTTCCCAACGACACGAACTCCAATTGCGGGCCGTATTTGGCAAAGATTTTGTCCACATTTTTGGCCGTCATCTGAAGGAAACAGTAGTAAAATTCGGTCAATTTGTGGCAATTGTTGACCAATAGATCGATGATATCGTCGTTTCTGCAATAGAGGTGACAGTTCTTGAGGTTAGCGATCCTCACGTGCGGACACTTTCGCAGTATTGTCTCAAACATTGACCAATCGATGCAATCGCTGGCGTTTAACATATGTTTATCTTCGATGATTAGCTCGCGTTCGCCCGCAAAGACATTCCTCTGGAAGTGCTTAGAAACGCATTCGAAGCGAAATCTTTGCTCGAATGGCAGATAACTCAACACCAGTTGACACAAGTCGTCGCCGAAGCGGTCGAAAGAGTCTTCGCTGAAGAGATTAGACATTATTTTTGTGTAAATAGTTTTGTAATAATTTTTTCAACAGAACTCTATATAAAATGAAATAAAACAAAATAAATGTTTTATTTAAACAAATATTGAGAAAATTATTATCAAAATGTTATCTAAATTGCTGGTAAAGCTATACCCTTAGTGCTATTGCTATTCACTTGAGAAAAGTGACATTTTTGTGATAAAAGTATATTTTGTTGTTTTACTTGTATTTTAATAATTTTTAAAAATTTCTATTTAACATAAAATTATAATTCATAAATAAACATAAACTAATTTTCGTCACTTTTCACTATTAATTTCACTTTAAGAAAAATAAAAGTTATTAGTAATAATAGTAATAACTTATTACCATTTTAGTTCACTTATAATATCTAGTCTATTTTTATCTCAAATTATGTTCAAAATCACATGTCTCTCTTATAACTTATAATAAGTTATAACTTATCTAGTTTATTTAATAATACAACTATATTTAATACAATATTTAAATTTTAATAGATTATATACTTTCCTTGTGCTACAGTTGTTCCAAGAAATTGTTACCCACAGTATTTTATATTTTTTATCAATTAAAATTAGTCACAAAAATTGAATTTATTTTATTAAGGTTAAAAGTTCTTACAATTTTACAATCATTATCATTTTACTAAAAACTTTTAAATACAATTTAAAAATAAATCATAAAACTTGCTTGCTTCTCGAGTTATCTATAATTAATAAGAAATACAGCGATGCGTTTATAACGATCTAAAATAAAATTAAAACTTTTAATTAATTACAAACTCATCAAAAATAATTTCTAACCGTTTGCAGCGTTTGTCGTGTGATTACATAACTTGTGATAAACGAAAAGCCAATTGTTTTACTCAATCTCTCGGAGTATGTCATCAACTAATATGCAAGCAATGTATTAATTATCATAAAAATTAAACACAAAAATACATTTCAAACCTTTAATTTAGTTTTGAGAGAGAAATGCTGTTTCAGACACAATGTCTGCAGCAATCTATACGTGGATTGTGTCCGTCGGGAGACCATTGAGGCCGAGATTATGATCACAATTAAGACAACAGTTTTGACCGACAAAATGATTGAAAATTCAATTTTTGGCAAAACAGGCATTTCTGTGAAGAAATACAAATACGAGAGAAATAGGATTATTGCGAGAAAAATAAGCAGAGATTGGGTTAAGAAATATTCCCAAAACTTATTATAAATTTGAATTTTAACGCATATTTTGTGATGACTTTTCAACAGTTGGTCTAAAATCAGTTCATTTTCGGCCAAATCGTCTAAACTCTTCAATTGCTGTTCAATTGAAATCAATTGTGATTTAAGATAAAAGCAAATAATATAGAAATATATGGGAAACCAATACAAAATACACGGACAATAATACACCCAAAAGGACCACATAATAATCCAAGGGATGCCAAACGTGTAAAACTGAAATACAGTAAAATTGATGGCAAACAATGAGATAATACACAAGAGTCCGATCCACGCAATGTTTGCCACCGCGTTATTCACCAAAAAGTAGACCACTTTTGATCGCATTTGCAAATCAGACCTCAATTTCTGGTCGATTTGCAGTGAATTGATGTCCAAAAAGCCGTTCAAAGCGCCAAACAATTCAATCCATACGAACCGACTTTTGCGACGATTTAATACTGTGTAATAACAGCCGATGAAATGTATTGACCACAATAGGGCCACCAATTCAAAGTAGTCGGCCCGACCGCCCAATAGGGGTGACCAACTTCCCAAACACACGGCCAGTTCACTGCCCATCACGTGCTCTGTCCTGTATATCAACGCAATGATACACCGAGTGGTCATTATTGCAAAAAATATGGTCACAAATCGGTAATACTTTGCGCTAATATATTGTTTGTCTTTTAATATGTAATAGTTTTGAAGCCATTGAGACATAATTCCCATCTCTTTAGTGGAAAAGGGATTTAAATGCGAGAATTTTTGCATTAAATAACTCATTATTATTATTATAAATTTTATTTATTATTATTTAAGTTAAAGTAAATGTGGATTAATTTTTAGTTGTATTTTAGTAATTTTTTTTAACATTGTAAATGTTAGTCCATAATGTGTAATATTTCGTGATGTTAATAATTTTGGCAATTAATTGTGTTGTTGCCCGAAATTTAGTGCTTATTATTATAAATAAATTAAATTCATTTCAAAAACATAATTATATTATTTAGTATTTAGAGAATTAAAATATTTTCTATAATGAAAACAATGAAATGATAGTGAAATCAATATTTATTTATGATATATTTAAATATTACAATAATTCGTGTTTATAATAATTTATTTTTATTGTTATTTTAATGGTTATAATAAGTTATAATAATTAATGAATAAAGCAAGAAAATAATAACATTAATGACCCAAAAATCAATTTTTATAATGATTTTAGAAATAATAATTATGTAAAATAAGAAAATGTTTTGATTAATATACAGTATATCTAATAAACTAATCATAAATGTATCGTTAAATATTTTATATTTAAAACTAAACATTCAGTGTTTAGATAAAAATTATAAATACTTTTAATTAAATGAATGATTAATATATAATTTATAGTAATTAAATTTACGGCAATAGTTTGATGAGTAGTTTGCTATCGACTTATAAACGGTTTCTGAGATCAGTTTAATATCGCTGCCATTGTGTGGACACATTCGGGTCGGGAACAGGTCTTTGACTGACAAAACTAGTGATTATTGATATGAAAATGGGTTAACTATTTATACTATTAATGCCTGTATTTTAGTGTCTGTTAATAGGCTTTGTTTTGAATGAATATTAAATAAAGTTTTAAACATTAAAATATTTGTAGTTTAAAATTAAATGTTTATTTTATTAAGTGTTAAGAGTGACAACTTTTCACGCAATTAGTATTAATACAATTATACGAAATAGAAATTTAGGAAAAGGTTAAAACATTTCTTAAAAGTATTCAATAAATGAAAAGTAAATGAATTTCAATATTAAATGTGTGTCAAGTGGTGGACCCGTCGGGTGTCCGCACAGACATCCTGTGCCGTAATCACTAGTCCGAGTCGGACGACGAGTAATATCGGGCGCACACAGGGATTGGTCGCGGAATCCGACGTTTGCTCACTTCGCACATCACTTCCAGCCACACCCTGTTTGTGATGCCATCCAAAGCATTCAATTCCTGATATTCTTTGGTCACCATTTGGTCAAACTTTGCGGTGAGAAAAGTTTTCAAATCCAATACGAATCGTTTGGTCGGCGCTCCGTATTTGTAGGCAACTGTGGCCACAGAGAGCACGTTCTCCACAGTCAACAGTGCGGCCAATCGGGTGCCCATCGCTTCGCTCAGACCACGGATGCGATACGTGTGGGCCATGTCTGCGATCGTCTCCATTGTCCAGATGGTGACCATTGTCTCCAAGTGTTTGCCGATGGCGTCCATCAAACGAATCACACGGTATCGGTCCGCGCATTGGAGGACATCGCCGATGAGTTGGAGGTCACTGTCGTCGGTGAGCATCAACTCTCGAGAGTACATAAAACCGATCATCGTTTTGAAGGCGTCGGCAGTCGTGTCCTTAATCATGATCTCTTTGGCCGTAGACTCTGTGTATTCACCCGAAAACATGCGGTCAAAGACATTGCTATTGATCTCTAAGACACCCTTCTTTGCGGGCACTCTCTGGCCGTCGACCAGAAACACGACATCACTCTTGGATTCGTTCATAAAGTGTTTCCTTTCGGGAAACCTCTCGTCTTCGTCGTCGTCATCGATGTCTGTCTTCCGTCTCTTTGTCTTTGACTGCAATTCAAAAATCAATTGTCAAACGAGTGGTTGAATCTAATGGCGTGAATATCATTACCCGTTTGGACGTGTTTTGCGAGCCGTTGTCTGCCATCAAAACTCAATTCAATTGATTATCTGTTGTATGAATTGATTGCTTTACAAGAGGTTTGTGTTCAACACAACTGACAGTTAAACTCCAGAAACAAATTAACAGTTAATAAAACAATTGAATGTTTAAATTGAAATGAAAACGTGATATAAATTACACAACAATTGGTTTGCGATTTAATCATACATTTAATGACAATTAGTTTTACTCTTCATTTCATGAGTTTTGTGTTGAGTTTACAGTTAGTGAATACCTATTGATATGAAAACGTGTTAACTGTTAACACTATTAATGCCTGCATTCCGTTGACTGTTAAACGCATTTGCTTTCAATGATTATTGACTTAAACTTTTATACAGTATTTGATTTGAAAAGTAGGCAAAAGTTTTGTCACCAAAACTCCAGAATCTAATGAAGCGATTGTCAGATGTTTAATAAATTAAGTTTTTTAATTGCAATTAATATAATTTATAATTATGTAAAATTAATTATAAAAATTTAAACATTTTTAAAACAAGACAGAAATCAATAGATTTTCAGGCATTAACTAAACATTTACTGAAAATAAAGTGATTTTTATTGTATTTTTCTAACAAAAAACAAACAAAAATGAATTCATTGTCTTTCAATCGGTTTCAAACATTTACACCATTTTTACGCCAATAAAACTTCGAGACATTAAATAAATAATTCAAAACTTGTAATTAGTTTTGAATTAACAATTGATTGAATGGTTTATCACTTTATAAAAGTTAACTCTTAATCACAATTATTACCGACTTTTTATTCGCTAAAATGACTCAATTTTTACACTCAAATAACTCAATGGTTCGCAAAACGACTTTAAACCAAAAACTTTGTCACAAAAAAAAGTTTTCAAACTTTTCTTTAGTTTTGTTCGCAAATAAAATACAAATTATTTTACAAAAAGTTTTAAAACTTAAATGTTATAATTGATTTATTAATAGCATTATTTGCGACAACTTTTCATGCCTTCAGTATTAATATCGCTGTACTATTCATACAATATTTTAATTAAAAATAAGTCAAAACATTAATAAATCTTGAGTTTTATTGAATTGAATAAAATGGCATTTGAATCGTGAAATTGTCTTTCATATGGATATTGTATGGCATAAGTGAGACACCCGGCGGGTCTCTAATGGCCACCCGATTGGCCAGTGTTTTGAACTACGCAAAGGAGTCCGTAGTGTCTGTAGAGGCCGTGGAGGACGTAGAGCGCAAAGAGCCTGATATCGGGTACGGGAAGGGATGGGTTGAGTTGTTTGTCAGCCTATGTGTTGGCGACAGACCTTTCATCACATCGTGAATCACTCGAAGCCATAAGTTGTCTGTCATTTCATTCAATGCCAACAATTCGTCCGACGCTTTGGCGGCCATTGACTGCAAATTCTTGTCAAGAAATGTCTTCAATGCGGTCACGAAGTGGTCGGCCGGCGGTCCGCGTTTGTAACCAACTCTGGCCACAGACAACACACTCTCCACAGTCAACAGTGCGCCCAATCGGGTGGCCATCACTTCACTCAGACCGCGGATCCGATACTTGTCGGCCATGTCGTCGATTGTGTCCATTGTCTCGACGCTTACCATTGATTCCAAGTGTTTGCCGATTGTGTTCACTAAACGCATGACTCGGTAATAGTTGGCGCAGTGGAGGACATCGTCTATCAGTTTCAAGTCTTTGGCGTCGCTTAAGACCAGATCCGATGTATACATGAATCGTATCATTGTTTTGAAGGCGTCGGCAGTCGTGTCCGTAATTGTGATCTCTTTGGCCGTCGACTCCGAGTATTGTCCCGAAAACATGGCGTCAAAGACATCACTCTTGAGCCGTAGGACTGCTTTGATTGCCGGCACTCTCTGGCCGTCGACCAGAAACACGACATCACTCTTGGATTCGTTCATAAAGTGCTTCATTTCGGGACACTTCTCGTCGTTGTCGTCACCGATGGATGTCTTTGACTGCAATTCAAATCAATTATTAAACGAATGGTTAAACTAATTGTGATGTCATTACATGTTTGACTGTGTTTTGGGATCCGCTGCCAGAATTGTCTGCCATTTGGTTTCAGTTGATTCCAAGACTGTCTTCAAAGCGACAGTTAATCTGAAAACTATTTCACAACTAATAAAACAATTGAAAGTTTAAATTGAAATGAAAACGTGATATAAATTACACAACAATTAATCACACATTTAATGACAATTAGTTTTACTCTTCATTTCATGAGTTTTGTATTGAGTTTACAGTTAGTGAATACCTATTGGTATGAAAATGTGTTAACTGTTAACACTATTGATGCCTGCATTCCGTTGACTGTTAAACGCATTTGCTTTCAATGATTATTGTCTTAAACTTTTTATACAGTATTTGATTTGAAAAGTAGACAAAAGTTTTGTCACCAAAACTCCAGAATCTAATGAAGCGATTGTCAGATGTTTAATAAATTAAGTTTTTTAATTACAATAAATATAATTTACATTTATGTAAACTTTTATATTGTTAATTTTTATACATTAAACAATAAAGGCATAGACTTTATTACAAATTCATTATACATTCACTGTATTAGATCATTACATAGCAGTTTAGACCAATTATAATATGTTAATAAATAATTGAGTAAATTACAATTTACATTTAAATATAATGAGCTTTGGTTTCAATGAGTGTTAAATAAAGTTTTAAACATTAAAATATTTGTAGTTTAAAATTGAATGTTAATTTTATAAAGTGTTAAAAGTGACAACATTTCACGCAATTAGTATTAATACAATTATACGAAATAGAAATTAAGAAAAAGGTTAATAAAAATCATTTAATTGAATGTAAAAATGAAATTCAAAAACACAAATAGAATTTAAAAACTAGATTTTGAATATAAAATAAAATTAAAAGTTTGATAAATAATAATTTTAAACAAAAACAAAGTTGTCTTTCAATCGGTTTCAAACATTTACACCGTTTTTACGGAAACAAAATCTTCAAATAAAAGCATTCCGATTGTCTTGAGTTTAGGACTTCTGGAGAACAGGTGTTCGCAAACATCACTTGCGAAACGATTGCCGTCAGCATTAAGATAATCATTGGGACCAATGTATTGATAGCAAACAAAGACCAGTGTTTGCAGCGCCGGTAGTCTTGAGATCTGATACAAACCATTGCTTGTGATAATCCGATTAATGTATGTGTGAAGTCGGGGCCAATGATTGTCAAGCAGATGGACCACTTGTACAGTTGAAAGCCTTAAACTGAATGACAAATGGGTTAATCGGTGGCAGTGTTTCAACGGATCCAAAAGCGTGCCATCGATTGCCAATTCAAATCCAATAAGCGTTAAATCAAATCGTTTTAATCGCCGATAACTTTGCAATGAGTCTAATGTGTGGCCATTAAGTGGCGATTTATTTGAGAGCAAACTAAGCGCAAAACATTGCAGTTGTGGGCATTTCTGGCCAATTGTGTGCAAACACTCGTTCAATGAGTTGTGGCCGTAAATTGGCATCAATTTAAGCGACAATTCCTTTAATTGTGGTAATCGTGACAATTGTGCGGCCATTTCGACGATACTCTCGTGACTTCCGTTATAATTACAGTCATTTTCGCCAATCATTTTGAAACTTCTTAACGACTGATTCGCGGCCACGAAAGGCGACAAAAGCTGATTATTATCGGTTGAATTGAACGGCACTTCAAAGCTATGCAAATTCGTGGCCAACAGTCGGCCGGACTTGTCGTCAAAGACGTCGGATAACCGCTGGACCCGTAGTCGAGACAATCGGCGACAGAGTCTTAGCCTTTGTTTACGCTTTTCTGAAATTTTGCCGATTCTCGTGACCAGTGATCCGATCGCTGGTAGCCTTTGGTAAACGTTTCGGTCGTAATTGCAGTAAATGTTCCGCAAATTGGGCCGAAATATGTCCAACACTTCGGCAGTTTGTGTCAAACGTCTGCTCCGTATTCCTCTGCAGTCAATGGTGTGAATGTGCGGACACTTGCCGTGAATTGTGGCCAATAATCCAGTGTTAGAGACTGTGATTCGCGATATTTTTGATTCCTTGTCGTGAATAGTGATGTCGACCACACTCTTGAAGACAGTCCTCTGGAACTGTTTGGACACACATTCGTAGTCCAGACGCTTGTCGAGTGAGAGGTGCGACAGAATGAGTCCACACAAGTCATCACCAAAACGATCGAAAGAGTTCTTCGGGTAAATCCGTCGCTAAAAATGTGAAACAAAAAATACAATTAAAACTCAATGAATACTCAATTGTTTGCCAATCAATACCTGTTTTTTGACGACCACTTCTTCGGTGCCATTTGTGTCCGCAATCGATGCCATCGTTGGAGTGGTCTTCGAGTAGATCTGCGGTCAAAACGAAAGACAATTTAAACAACAATTAAAACCTAATAAACAGTCAATTATTTGTCACTCAAAACCTGTTGCAAGTCTTCGGTGTCTAAAAATTTGGGATCAAATGAAGTGATTGTTTGCGATCAACGGTTTTGTTAACAAAAATAAGTATATTTTCGGTTAAGAAATGCCAACAAATGCACAAAACAATGAAATGTTTAAAATTGATTACAGTTTAAGACACGAGACATGTATTGAAAACTACACTAAATTTGTTAAACTAATCATTAATTCAATTGTTTTGCGTTTAAGCTTTATATAATTTATTATACTGTATGTAAAATTTTATATAGTTTTTTTTGTATATTATAAACAGTAAAGGCATAGACATTATTTCATATTCATTATACATTCACTGTATTAGATCATTACATAGCAGTTTATATCAATCAATATGTTAATTAATAATTGAGTAAATTATAATTTTATTAAAACATATATTTTAAATTCAATAAACATGTAATAAAAATTAATAACAGATTAATAGTACGTTATGTAACTATATTTTGAACCACTTTTTTAGATATGGTTAAAGTGCTTAACAGATAACCCAAGGATATTATTATAAAATGTCTAAATATAACAGGTATTGAAAATTCACCATTTTATAAATCAAAAACTTATAGATTAAATATATAACAATAGAGTCCATCTAATCATAAATATTTCAATCCTCTTAACAATTTAGCCAAAAAAACCACAGCAAATGTCACACGAAAAACACAATTCTCATCACTCATTACAATACAAATGTAAAGTTATATTTAATATATTCTTTATATTTAATGTTATATAATGTTATATAACGTCAATATCTAATGTGTTTCGCATTCATTATAGATGTCGCGAAACATCTCTTGAGAAATGGGACCAAAATAATCGATATAATCTTCGATACCATTCAATATCTCTATACGGGAGACAACATTCAGGTCTACCAAAGCGTTCATCAGGTTTGACATCTTGTAATTCCAGAGCCATTCCCACTTGTATTTCATCGATAGGTACCGTTGCAGTAGATATATGTATAATTGTTGCCGGAATCTAATTACACCATCATCAAACATTAATTATAGATATAACCTTAACAGTAATTAATAACTCACTTAACAATATCGCTGTTTATTATATTGGGGCGATTCGGGTTGAATAGTATGATTACGGTAAGCTATAAAATACAAACACAATTAGTTACAATAAGGTACAATATTTGTAATAAACAAGGTGAAAATAACGTACCAAGTCAACGAGCACCCTGTCCCAATTCCATTCGGGTATAATTTTGTTAAGGTGACTTTTGTAGACACCATATAGATTGCGCTTCTCATCCTTGAGTACATCGAGTGGAAACACGCATAGATTGCATGGATCTTGCTGAAATATAAACATAAATTAGTCACAAATTAACCACTATTAAACTAATTAACTATAACAAGTGAAACATACAATGAACAGGGTCCATTTCTCTGTCTGTAAGTCATAATCATAGTTAGCGCGCAACACACTAATCTCCATGCTGCTGTATTTGACCAAGGCGATCTGATCGTTATGGCAAATGTCCACATTCTTGGTGAGCGCCTTAATAATACTGACCACACAATGGGTGTCCGTTTCGATACGATTACCCCAATTGGTGTAAAACTCGTGTATATTATTGACGTGAATGTAGTTATGCGGCGCCGACGGCACGGAGAAGACATCTGTGGCCAAACACAAGTCCAACAGATGTTTGCATTCAATTTCGTTCAAATCGTTATACGTGTTGATGGGTCTCAGGAGCGGTGCCGTCAGGTATTGTGTCAGCCGCTGATTGATGTCCATCGGGTGACGGCCGCCATCTTTGGTGATGTCTTTCATCGACTTGTTTAGCGCTAAGACATTCTGGAAGACATTCGCGTTGTTCTGGTAGATGTTGACAATCACCTCGTCGTCGATGTCGACCTCCAGATCGCGCGTACCGTCGCTCGTGTTGTCGTCGGTCGACGGCGGAGACGATGGCGACGGCGATGACGACGACGAAGAGGTGGATGTGCTCTCCGATGAGATGATCTCTTCGATTCTCTTTTGGCGGTTGATTTTCATTTTCATTTTTCTCACATTGTTTTGCTCTTTCGTTTGTATAAATTCCTATCGGGTTTTTGGTAATTATAATCAATTAGTAAATTGTGTTTCATTTGTTAGCATTGATTAACAGCTCATTTATGGCATACTTTTTTCATCCCAACGGAGAAACACTTCATTAAACGACATTTTTTGCATGAGTTTCGCGTCCGTTGTTTGACCTCACATTTATCGCCAAACTTACAGTTAAAGTCCTGTTAATTGTATACATAATTAATTATAGATTCAATTGTTAATTAATAATTATAATAAAAATTACATTTTCTTTGCCTGAATTTCGACGAAAAAATGTTTTACACGATTCACAACTGATTGCACCGAAATTTCGGCCTAAAATTACATTCAAAACATTTTATAAATAAGAAATTAGTAAAAAATTATAATAAATTTTAATAAACAAGGTCCAAAAGCACACTTACCCACACCCTTTTCGCCACACACCTCGCAATCAGGAACCACAACCTTCCTTCTCATTGTTTAATCACAATTATCACTATTTTTCTGTATTATAGTCAAAAATATTCACACAATTTTCACAAACAAAATCACAATTTAATTAGTATTTTTAGTCCCAAACAATATGTAATGCAAAACAATTGTTACATATAATGGAGACAATGATTCAATTGGTGTCTAATATCTTATAGTATAATAAGTAAATAGAGATAAGTTTCTTAAACTCAGTTAAAGCCATATAACTCATAAAAGTCATGAAACTATTGCAACTATAGCCATACATAGGCTGCCGGTGCTCTAATAACGCACAGTACTTTATGTCGGTGCTATTTATACTAAATTTTAATTAACTAAACAAATTTTTACCACGATTTCTAGCATAATGTACTGAGGATTATATGATTGGCAAATATTTTAATTAGTTAACATGTAATTTATCGATTATATAATATAAAATAAATAAATTTGTTTATATATGAGTTATATGAGGGATATAAGGGTTGTATGAATGTTATCACTAGAGATGCCAATAGATCAATGTAGAATATGTTTGATGCGTGATCTAGCTCTCCAGTTTAATATCAATATAATAAAAAATTGTTTGCGATTAAAAAATATGTGGTACACAAATTGATTGAATAATAAATCTATTTTTATCACATTTAGTGTATTAGGTATCAAAATGAATGCAATTCTTTGTAATACAATAACCATTTTAGTATATAATTATCATATTGTTATGAAAAATACTAAACACAATAAATTTAACAATTTATTGTACATATTAATTGTTCATGATAGATATAAATGAAACACAATATACTATTATCAGTATAAATTGTAATCCAGTTAAAGAATCAATTCATTTCACTTATAATTTTCAGATAAATACAAAGTTCATTTAAGAAACTTAAAATGTTCATTTTATTTGTAAATTCAGTTATTTATTACAGAATTTTCATTGTTTAATATGTACTTAAGTGCTCATAGTAACAGGTTTATAAAATACAGTAATTCCAGTTGGATAAACTAATTTAGTAAACTAATCTAGATATTAAATGAATCTATAGATGTTAACCCTAATGTAATTTGTAATTAATTTACAAGAATTTCCCGGAAAACGGGTCCAAAATAGTGGAAATACTCTTCGATGCCGTTCTGTATCTCGATTTGCGAGACGTGTTGTAAATCATTCAATGCGTTCATAAGGCTCGACATCTTTGCCCTCCACTGCCATTCCCAGCGATATTTGATCATAAGATAGCGTTGCAGTAAATATAAGTACATATCACGCTTAGCCCTATTAGCGCACGATTTATAAACACAAAATTAATAATAATTATCAATTATTTACAAGGTTGAAAACATTTTTGTTATTTTTAATCTAGCACGTACTTCACAGCCTTTGGGTTTATCATGTTGGGTCGCTCCGGGTTGAAGAGCACTATAGCCGACAACTGGATATATAAATAAGACAATTATTGGTTAATTAAAATAAATAATTTACATTTTATATAAATTGTTTATACCAAGTTCAATATAACTGTATCCCTGTTCCATTCGGGTAGTATTTTGTCCAAGTACACTTTATAGGAGTTATATAGATCTCGCTTTTCTAACTTTAGCACATTCATAGGAGTAATGAATGAATACTCGTTATTCTACAAAATGAATCAAATTAAACAATTAATTTCTAGATAATAATATAAATTAAATAAATTATATTATTATTTACCACATTGCACGTCCAGGTTTGAGCACGATCATCATAGAAATGATTGGCCCGCAATACAATCAACTCCATCGAGCTATACTTGACCAAGGCGATCTGATCATTATGGCAAATGTCTGTACCCTGGGTTAAACCCTTGGTGAAAGTGACAATATTCTTGGTGTCATTCTCTATACGATTGCCCCACAACTCGTAGAAGTGGTGAATATTCTGCACTTCAATACACTTTTCGGTGTACTTCTCCTCAAACACGTTGGATGTGAGGCACAGGTCGGACACCCACTGGTGCTCGCCATCAGTCCAGTCCTTATAAACATTGATGGGCTGTAAGAGGGGTGCGAACAGGTGTTGAAACAATTGTTTTTGGTTTTGGTCCAGTTTTGGGGGCCGATTGTCCAGGTTTTCAACGATACACCGGTTTAGGGCAATCACGTCGTTGTAAACCCGCTTATTGTTGTCAAATATCTTTGCAAACACATCGTCTTTGGATCCGATCTCACCATTGCTTGGGGTCTTATCTGTCACTGATTTGTTCCCATCAATCGCTGCCTTCCTATCATTCTTCCCAATCTTCTTGTTGTCTTCGATGGCTATTTTTCTCAACTCTTTTTGTTTCGCACTTTGAATGAATTCCTGTATAATTTTTTGATAAAAAATATATTAGTATTTAATTAAAATTTTAAACTTCACTATATATTCACATTCACTTCAAGTGGTTTGTGAAATACTTATACCTTTTTCATACCAACGGATAGGCATTTATCTAATCGGCATTTTTTACAAAGTCTTTTTGCCGTATAATCGATGTCGCAATTATAGTCAAACTTGCATTTGAAAGTCTATATACATGTATGTTTAAGAAACACCATATTGTAATTATTACATAAAACAATTAGTGGTCATAATTTACCTTATTTTTCAACGAGTTTCTACGAAAAAACGCTTTACAACTCTCACAAGTAATTGCACCAAAATTTCTGCCTAAAAACATCATGATATTTGTCATTACAGTTATTGTTATAAAATATAATTTTACACAATTAATTAATTACATACCAACGCCTTTGTTGCCACATATCTCGCATATTTTGTTTGTTTTTGCCACTGTTTTGTCACTCTTTCGCATAATAATTACAGATATTATTTGTAATATTAATGTGTTGTTCACAATATAATGGCTGCAAAAAATATACGGTATTGATAGCAAGAATTGCGATATACAGTACTATATTAGTTATCAATCAATTTTTAATTTCGTGTTGCCTTCAATTTATTTTTGATTATAAATTGGCGTTTATATCAATTAGTTATGCAGTAATTATTGTTATAATTATACACATAAGGTCTTTGAACACTAATAAACAACCCATTTGCAAAATAATATTGCTTATTATGCAACAATGTCAAATAATTAAAATGTTTAATTTATTACAATTGAAGCAAGTTAGAAATTTTCGTTTAGCTGTACTTTATATAGAGTAAAAAATTATATAAGGTATAAGTACTTAATGTATATGTACGCATAATATATTGAATGTGGTAGATAAATTTCTAAGCGTGCAATATCCTTTTAAATTACTATAAATTAATAATCACGTGAAAATAAACACAATCAGTTTTTTCTCAGAATCCATTTGTGTTCATGGTGATTATCAGGTAAAGTAGGTGACCGCTGATAATATAAAGGTTATTTTATATGACATTTCATCATGGTACGGTACGTGGTGTGCATTCTGCACTGGCTGATTTTTCACTATTTATTATCCAGGCTATAAAAATATAAGCCTTTAAAATATCAGTGTAATTTTTATTAGTGGTAGGTCATTGACTGGGCAGTGCATAAGTCAACTAGCGGATATTTTACCTTGCATAATCATAATTTAATAAATATTATATTAATGTATAAATTACATTTGCTTTACAATAGTCTATAATTTCTTCATTAGTGTACTTTACTACAATTACAGATAAATCTAATTAAAACTTATCACATATTGGACTTTTACATTGCATGTATTCTACACCTTATGCACTGTATATTAGTACAAATTGTTTAAAAATATAATAATCAATCACCATTTTTACGCAATTATTTTAACTATTTTAAATCTCTTAATTAAAGTACAAGTTAAAACATTTTAAAAACCATATCCTAAATTTCTATAAATTTTCTTATTATGATCATATCGTTAATTAATAAATCCTTTGATATGCATGTATATTTACTTATATTTACTATTCTGAATTATTATTTACATTAATTTGTAATATACAACTTAAATTTTTATTTAATAGATTATTTAAAAATAATATTTATTAACAAAGTTAAATATTTATTTAACACAAAAAAATATAATCATAAAATGTTAATTACATTTAAATTCAAAAACTTAAACAATAAGACGGTAATAATGGTGGTAATTAACTAACGCCATAGCAATTGTTAATCATTAAGCATAATCTAGCACATTTTCAACAGTCCAGCTACCGGCATTATACTATTAATATATTTGCAATTAATTTATAATTGTCAATAAGCTAATAAAATGATGGTAAGTATTTATTACAAAAGTTTACTGTCAATTACCAATGATTTCCCTGAAAATGGGCCCAAAATATTGTATGTATTCTTCGACACCATTTTGTATCTCAATTTCGGAGACCAGATGTAAGTCAATCAATGCGTTCATAAGGTTAGCCATCTTTGCCTTCCACTGCCATTCCCACCGAAACCTCAACATTAGGTACCGTTGAAGCAAATGGATGTACATTTGCTGCTGAAATCTATGCACAAACATATCATTGTTATAAATTATAACTTATAATTACAACATTAAGGTAATTTATTTTATGGACAGTAGCGCTGGGGTTATGTCCCATAACTTACTTAACGGTAAATCTATCGCTCAGGTTTGGTCGGTTGGGATTGAAGAGCACTATTGCTGTCAACTATAATAAATAAATTACAAATAAAATACAATTAAACTCAAACTAGGATTGACAGGTATTTATTTTGCAATTACCAAATCCAGAATAACTGAATCCCAGTTCCATTCGGGAAGGATTTTATTAAAGTAAACCTTATATGTGTTAAATAGGTTCCTTTTCTCGCTCTTCAGCAAATCTAATGGCACTATAAATGAGGTGTCGTTGTCCTACAAATGCAAATGGATCATATAAGTTTGTTAAATAATTAAGCATGATACTTCACAGAGAGCTAAATATTGTAAATAATTACCATAAATATGGTCCACTTTTCAGCCTGACTATCCCAACAATAGTTAGCCCGCAATATAATCAGCTCCATGCAGGCGTATTTGATCAGGATCAGTTTATCCTCCTGATTAACATTGCAGTATTTGGTCATCTCTTTGGTGTATTTGACAATATTCTTGGCGTCTACTTCCAGCCGATTACCCCATTCGCGGTAATAGTCGCCAATCGTGTAGACCTCGTAATGGCGTTCAGTAGTCGGGTATCGGAACACATTGCTGGCCAAACACATGTCCGACAGGTGTTTGCACTCAATCTCATTCCAGTCGCTATACGTATTGATGGGTCGCATGAGTGGTGTGAATAAGTAGAGCAGGAAATTCTGGTTCACGTCCATCGCCTGATCGGTCATATGAGTGCGGATACACTGGTTTAGTGTCAATACCTCTCGCTGTACGTTACGGTTGCTGTTGAACACAGTGTCGACACTAAGCGATTGGCTGTCCGTCGAGTCGGTGGTCGCCGACGACGACTTGCTGTCACTTCTCTTCCGTTGCTTTTCATTGCGTTTTCGTTTGTTTTCTTCAATCGTTTGTTTTCTCAATTCCTTCTGCTCTTTGTTTTGTATGAATTCCTGTAATATAAAACACATTTAGATTTAGTTTAAATATAACATCTAGTTATTACTACATGTAATCAATGTATGTAATAGTTAACATTAATTACTATTTCAATGACCTATCACCTTTTTCATGCCAGCAGCCATGCATTTTTGTAAACGGCATTTCTTGCATAACTTTCTGGTTTTCACTTCAATTATGCAATTGTTGTCAAAACTACACTTTAAAACCTATTAAATTGCAAATAAATTATAAGCAATTTATTTATTTTCAAAAGCATTGCATAAAATGATTGCCAAAAATACCGTTTCTCGCACTGAATTCCTCCTAAAGAACGCTTTACACGACTCACAAGTAATCGCACCAAAGTTTCTACCTTTAAATTAGTAAACATTATGGTATTTATTGCTATTATAATAGTTTGCAATTGTAGATCATGGTGATTCTTAATTAATTTTAAAAATCAATCACATTTTCATTACATACCGACAGCATTATCGCCACATATCTCACAGGTTTTGTCTAAATTCTTGTTTCGTGTCATTTATATATTCAGACACTTTAAGTAATTCACATTAATTACAAGTACAGTATAAAGCGATTCACTTAAATATTTGTTTATAATTTTATTATTATTATTTCCGCATGTATCATTTAATAATATGATTATTTATATAATTAACTCAATTATTAACCCTGAAATAATAATTATCATATACAAAATGGTAGCCAATATATCATTTTTACTGCATACACGGATTTATTTATCAATATGTGACATAATGTATAAATTAAACTTTATAAAAAAAGTGCATTCATGCAACTCTATCAGCAAACAAATAAGTCCAACGACTAGGATATTATCAATTAAACATCATTTCACAATAGCATTACATTAGTATGTTTTTTGTTAACATTATCGCAATTAATAATGGCATCAACCAAGTGTTATAAGTTTATAATTATTTATCATTATTAAGTTGGCATTTAAAATATAAATAGCAATTCTGAGAAATAGAAAAAACATTGCAAAAAGTAATTCATTAATCTGAAGAATCATGCTTTATATAACAATCTAAATAGCAATTTTGTGTACATTTAACTACATTTTAAAAATCTGTAAATTACTACTAGTTAAAATAATCTTAATTACTATTTCTAATGAATGCATTTTCAATATTACACCTAAATTGCAATATAATGTTATATCACAAAACATATCATTACCGCTCACACGATTTGGGCGAATGATATTGTATATGTTTGTAACGCAAGTACTTAATTAAATAATGATCATGTGCATTTTCCATGATAATGATCCAGGTCACAATTATGTTGTGTTAAAGAATATCTCTCTGAGAAGTGGTGGAAAGTAATGATGATAACACTCTCTGCCATTTTCCCTCTCAATTTCACTGACTATTTGCAAATCAGACAATGAATTCATTAGTTTTGATAACTTTGATTGCGATTCACACTCCGATCGATGCCTTAAATACAGATATCTTTGCAATAAATATATGTATAATTGTTGTTCAGCCCTGAAATATATAACATTGCAATTAATTTACATCATTAGCCGTTATTGTATTTAGTTATCAAATCACATATATTTATAACTATAAAACATTTGTATTATCAAAATTAAATGACATATAATTATATATTTACTACTTACTTTACAACATCTCTGTGTATAATATTGGGTCGATTTGGGTTAAACAATATGATTGCTGTTAACTATGTTATAATCATAATAAATTAAAATCAAATTTAATAAATTTATTCATAATAATTACCAGGTCTACGATTATGAAATCTTGGTTACATTCGGGCATTATTTTACTAAAATATATTTTATAAGTTGAATACATATTGCGCTTTTCAGGCTTTAATAAATCCAATTTAACCACAAATGAATCGTTTGATGTCTAAAATAATTAAAAATATAAACTATGTTGAGTATAATATAATCATAAAGTAAACAAGTTAATTAACACTAACCAAACCGCCGGCCCAGCGCTCAGTCCGCGGGTTATAATGCATTGAATAGCGGAGTATAAGTAATTCAATGCAACCGTATTTAAAGAGCGCCAACTGATCGTTGGCACAAATCCGGTCAAATGAACCCAGATTTTTGGTAAACGTAATTAGATTGGTAATATCGCTGTCCATTTTGGGACCGCATAAACGATATAGTTCATCAATGTTGGTGATTTCAAGCATATTACTACCAAGGTAATACAACTGGCCCAGGGCACTGGCCGCGCTAAACAGCTCGCTCAAATATCTCGACTCTATATCGTTAAAACTCTTACAGTTTGTTATGTGTGTGAAGACTGGCTGACAATACGTTTGGCGTTTGTATAAATCAGTGTCAAAAGTATCACTACTTTCGCTATTAAACGTCAAATATGTTTCAATTGAGAGCTGAGTATCGGCCGAAATATTGGAGGACTCGTCACCAGAACTGATACTAATATCCAGAATGTCTTTCAGTATTGTTTCGTCAATTGTTTCGTCGCTTTCAAGTATTTTATTGAATAAATCATTTTCAATGATATGTTGAGGTGTTGTGGAAGTGAGTGACGATCTCTTCCCACTATATCTAGTCTTCAACAGTCGTTTCACTTCATATTTCTTACATTCTTTGCTTTTAACCAATTCCTAGAAAAAGGGGAAATCATTTAATTATTACCAAATTGAACATCGATTACAAACTAATATCAATTTTTAATTTAAAAATTCAGTGTTTTGAAAATTTATAAACTGTAATAAAATAATGAGTTTGTAAATTATGGTAATAAATAATTTTTGTAACAAAATATAAATGGATTGGATAATTAAGAAGATTTGACTGTTCCTTTAAAATGAGTAACTTTTGTAAACTAAAATCATATTAAACTAAATTACTTTGCATTTGTTTAAATTAACTTTTTAATAGACAATATAATAAAACTTTTAATTGTAATTTACGAACCGTTTTCATGCCTTTTAAAAAACACTTCTCGAGTCGACACCGTTTACACGCTTTTCTGGTCATCATATTTATGGCACATTTGCCGTCCGAACAGCACTCGAATAGCTATTTGTAAATCACAAATAAATGTACAATTAATTGATCACAATTTAAATATTCATTTAATAATCACCTGATATTGTGATGCATTTCTACGAAAAAACACTTTACAACTCTCACAGGTTATCGCACCGTAATTCCGGCCTAAGAATCGGGGGTAATATTTACAAACATTAATACAAAAACATAATAAATATGCAAAATATATAATTACCAACGCCCTTTTCACCACAAATTATACAATTATAATCTAGCTTAGTTTGAGACATCATGAGAGCTTCAAAATAGTGGTCAAAACTGAAAACTAAAATTTTAATTAACTGTTGTTACAAATGATGATAATTTGTGACAAATATTGAAAACTTGATGTACTGTTTGTTATTAACGTATCATTCAATGAGTTATCTCTTTAATGAAATGGAGTTTGAGATAAGCTGTCAATTATTTATTATTTACTCAATTATAATGACATTAAACATTAATTTACAAAATGTTCAAGGTAGTTCATTGATTGCTACATTTATAACTATTGTAAACTGTATTTATTGAATAATAAGTTATTATTAATAACAACTATGATATTAAATTCAATTAATTTTATTTTATTGATTCATATTTTATAAAATTAAATTCTGGTTTAAAATTGGATCATGTTGAAGCTATCTCTCTAAGTAGTGGTGGAAAGTAATGAATTTTTATGGATAAAACTCAATATTTCAATCCATCATATTTTGTCTTTGGTATGAAATTTTTCAAAAGTTTTTTTTGACTAATATTATTAGAATTTAATATAGTATTTAACCATATAATTAATTATATTTAAATAGTAAAAAAATTTCAGTCCCATAGGTTAACATGTAAAAGTAGGCTTAGTTTGTTAGTCTGCCATTTAAAAACGTGCAATTCGATGATGGTTGTTTTAAGTGTATGTAACACTTTGATATCTCTTTTATCAAACCCTAACCCCCACCCCTCCCTCTCATAAACACCGTAGGTTTACACCATGTGTCAAGCAAATGGTCCATTTTCACAATAATATAGTCACATGACAAAAATATTTTTATGTGAAAAAAATTTCCGGCCATGGATGTATATGTGTGAAGTCTCAATATTGTCACTTCAGCTGTTCCCAAATGGTGATCAAAAGAAGTCACGCAAAAGTATTGTAATGGCCTTATATATTCACATTAAAAACTGTAACTATGTTAAAATATTTGTATTTTATATACTAAATAAGTTTGTAAAAGATCATATTTGGGTTGTTTGACTGCTCGAAATATTAAACATTGCAAATAAATTGTGTAATTTAAACACTTTTGTATACAATAACCTTTAAAAAATAATTTGTGATTATCTTAGAGTCAATGTGCATTGGTCATTATTTGTTAATTTATAAATTATAATTTCCAAGCGCATATTTGTAACTAAATACTATCAAAATAGATTTTAATTACTGAAATATTGAGTATTAATGTTAGTTTATTTAAGGTTAATTTACTCTACATTATATATATTGTTATTGACTTACAACTAGAAAACAATACATGCAATCAATAAATTATAATAAAACTAATTATTAAATATTTAATAAAAAAAACCTTTCATCTAATTTACATACAATTTGCATATTATTTTGGAAACACTTATCCAAAACGGCATTTTTTGCACACTTTTCTTGTTATCATATTTATGGCAGACTTGCCGTCCGAACAGCACTCGAATAGCTGTTTAAAAGTCATAATTAAATACATTATTAATTGCAAAAACAATAATTATTATTGAAATGATCACTTCATAATAACCTGATATTGTAATGCATTTCTACGAAAAAACACTTTACAAGAATCACAGGTAAGCGCACCGTAATTCCGGCCTAAGAATCGGGGTATTATTTACAGTAAATAAAAGCATTCATGGTAATATTTTAAACATACTTACAAATAGCTTGATCGCCGAAAATAACATAATTAAAATCTAGTTTATTTTGGGACATTGTCATCAGAAATAGTCGTAAAACTAAACTTTTAGTAAACAGTTGTTGTGATCAAAAATGATTGTCACAAATGATGATAATTTGTGGCAAACATTTGAAAACTTGATGTATTGTTTGTTATTAACGTATAATTCAATGAGTTATCTCTTAAATGAAATGGAGGTCGAGATAAGCCGTCAATTATGTCATATTTTTGCATTTTTAATAACATTAAATTAAATTTATTTTATCTTATACATTGAAAGATATTTGTAAAACAACTTTATTTAATTTCATTTGTAAATTTGCTTAATTATTTAAATATTAATTTGTATATTACTTAAGTGTTCATTGTAACAAGTTAACAAAAATAATTATACATTAAACATAAATTAGCAAAACTAATCTAATTATAAAATTAATTTTATAACATTTACCAGTTGGTAAAAATATTTTCAAATACTAATTAACACAGAGAATTTAAACATATAAAATACTCATGCACATTTTCGGACGCAAATTAAGTAATGTTTGAAGCTATCTCTTTGAGAAGTGGTGGGAAGTAATGAAGATAATACTCTCTGCCATTTTCCCTCTCAATTTCACTGACTATTTGCAAATCAGACAATGAATTCATTAGTTTTGATAACTTTGATTGCGATTCAAACTCCGATCGATGTCTTAAATACAGATATCGTTGCAATAAATATATGTATAATTGCTGTTCTGCTCTGAAATATATAACATTGCAATTAATTTACATTATTAACCGATATATATTTAATTATCACAATCACGTATTAATTGTATACTGTCACTTACTTTACGACATTCCTGTGCATAATATTAAGTCGGTTTGGATTCAACAATACGATTGCTGTTAACTATTTATAATACAAAATTTAATAAATTTAAAATAATGTAAAAAATAAAATTATATTTACCAGATCTAAAATAATAAAATCTTGATTGCATTCGGGTATTAATTTATCAAAATATACTTTATACATTGAATACATATTGCGCTTTTCAGACTTTAATAAATCCAAGTGAATCACAAATGAATCATTAGAGCCCTAATAATTGAAAAAACAAACAAACTTGGGTTAAATATATTTTTAATTATGGTCAATAATTAATTAAGTTCAAAATAACACTAACCAAACCGCCGGCCCAGCACTCATTCCCTGGACTATAATGCATTGAATAGCGGAGTATAAGTAATTCAATGCAACCGTATTTAATGAGCGCCAACTGATCGTTGGCACAAATACGATTAAATGAACCTAGATTTTTGGTAAACGTAATTAAATTGGTAATATCACTGTCCATTTTGGGAGTTGATAAACGATATAGCTCATCTACGTTGGTAATTTCAAGTTTATTACTACTTAAATACGACAACGGGCCCAGTGCATTGGCAGCGCTGAACAACTCGCTCAAAAATCTCGACTCTATATGGTTAAAATTTTTGCAATTTTGTATTTGCCTAAAGACTGGCTGACAATACGTGTGGTGTTTGTATAAAACAGTGTCCAAAGTGTCACTATTTTTGTTATTATATGTAAAATAAGTTTCAAATGAGAGCTGAGTATCGGCCGAAGTATTGGACGACTCGTCACCAGAACTGATACCGATATCCAGAATCTCTTTTAGTATTGTTTCGTCAATTGTTTCGTCGCTTTCGAGTATTTTATTGAATAAATCATTTTCAATGATATGTTGAGGTGTTGTGGAAGTGAGTGACGATCTCTTCTCTCGATATGTAGTTTTCAAACGCCGTTTCACTTCATATTTTGTACACTCTTTGCTTTGAATCAATTCCTACAGACATTTAGTAATTACACTTAATTGATTAAAAATAGATATTTTAATTAAAAACTGTAACCATGTTGAAATATTAAATATTTGTATACTAAATAAGTTTTGTAAAAAAGAATATTGGTGTTTGATCGTTCCAAGTGTTTAAACATTGTAAATTAATTGTAGCATTTTAAAACTTTTATATGCAATGACCATTAAAAATAATTAGTGATTATCTTAGAATCCATGCAATCAATAAATTATAATAAAAACTTAATTAAATATTTAATAAAAACCTTTCATCTAATTTACATACAATTTTCATGTTATTTCGGAAACACTTATCCAATCGACACCTTTTGCACACTTTTCTGGTTATCATATTTATGGCACACTTGCCGTCCGAACAGCACTCGAATAGCTGTTTACAAATCACAATTAAAAACACATTTAATTGATTATATTTTAAAATTCAAGTTATTATTACCTGATATTGTAATGCATTTCTACGAAAAAACACTTTACAACACTCACAGGTAAGCGCACCATAATTTCGGCCTAAAATTCACAGTTATTAAAACAATACATGGTAAATACTGTATACATTAATCAAATATAATTACCAATAGCATGTTTACCGCAAATTACACAATTATAACCTAGTTTATTCTGAGACATTGTTTAATAATATTGAAAAAACAACATTTTTAATAAACACTATGATAATTTACGGTCAATATTTGAAAACTTGTTTTATTATTTGTTATTAAAGTATAATTCAATGAATATTGAATCAAATGAAATGAAGGTTGAGATATACCGTCTATTAATTAATATTTATGCGATTTTAATGACATTAAACACTTTATAGAATAATTTAAATCATTTTTATCATTTAATTTGTTCAAGGTGATTCATTGATTGCTAGATTCATATCTATTGTAATCTGTACATGTGCAGATGTATACATATTTATGAAATAATAAACAACTAATCAATTATTCTTGTATGAATATAATAACACTTTAACTTAAATTACACTTAATTGTAAACACAATTAAAATGTTGGCAAAACAATCACAAATACATTAACAACTAGTCATACGAAAGTAAATCAGTCTTTTTGGGTGAAAATAAGTTTATATTTCCAAAATCAGTTTCAAAGCTATTGAAAATATATTCAATGACTGGTCTGTGGAAAGACGGGTGGGAAGAATGTCCAGTATTTCAATTCAAACATTAAAGTATTTGTTAACTTAAAGGTTTGTCTCATAGCATCGTATAAATCATATATCTCATAAAATACAAAATAAATGCTCACTGAATAATACATAATTATTTTATTATTATTAAAAACACTTGAAGTAATACAACATTTGTAAATATTATATCAATTGTTGACAATTATCAAAGAGATAGTAATTAATAGTTAATTATCACTCAATTGATCTCAGGTTGAATATAGTGTTAATTGATTTAAATCGGTGTCAATATTAGTGATATCGTAGAGAACTTCCTTAAGTATGGGTCCGAAGGAATCCAAGTAAAAGTCGCGACCATTTCTCTTCTCAATATCGCATATAATATGCAAATCTATTAATGGATTCATTAGTTTTGATAGTTTTATCTCAGTTTCCGATTCAGACTTGTATTTTAAACACAGATATCTTTGGAGTAAATAAATGTATAATTGCTGTTCAGCTCTACAATTAATTAATTTAAAAATAATGAATTAATTAAAATAAAATAAAATTAATTTATACTTAATTATGTAAATAAAACTTACTTAACAACTGATGAATGCTCAAGACCTGGTCTGTTTGGATTAAACAGCACAATAGCAGTCAACTGTTAATTAGATTAAACTATTAATTACATTACAATTATTATAATAAATACTATTAAATACCAAATCAAATATAACTAAATCCTGGTTCCACTCGGGAATAGTATTATACAAATATTTCTTGTAATATGAATACAAATCGCGTTTTTCATGCTTTAAAACATCGAGTTTAAATAGACTGGCCCTTGGATTATCTAGATGCTAGATTATATACACAATTATATTTTTATAAAACATAAACTTACTTTTATTTACTAAAAATTAAGTTAGCAAAATAAATAAAATACTAACCCAAATGTGTGTCCAGTAATCGGTGTCGGTATCAAAGAGTATAGTATAGCGGAGTATCAATAACTCGAGCCCTCCGTACTTAATGAGCGCCAACTGATCGTTAAGACACAGATTGTTAAACGAGTCGAGGGTTTTGGCAAATTTGATCACTTTCTGGATGTCTTTATCCATATCCATATTACAGATACGATTCAATTCATTCAAATCCGTTATTTCAAAAATGCTTGTCTCGTAAAATGGCTGATGACTGAAGACGTGGGACGAGCGGAACAGTTCAGACAATCGCCACGACTCCATGTCGTTGAAGTCACTCGTGTTAACCATTTGTATGAATACTGGTTTGCATAAGAAATTTAGTAGCATTTGGTTTGTGTCATCGTTTGGTGTATTGAGTCCGGTGTCCGATACCGGGCTCTCACTATCCCTCACCTGTTAATTATGGAAATGTTTTAATTTTAATTTAAAATTAATTGTAATTCAATGAGAATTATTATCTAATGCATACACTTATAGCTGTCTCTGTATTGTCATCGCATATCTCTTTCAATTCTTGCGATCCCTTAGTCCTGATTAATGCCTTGAAAACAATGATAAGTTAATTATTGAAAAATATTTTATCATGTTTTATATCACACAAAGGCTTACAGATTTCATGCCTTTCTTAAAGCATTGGCTTAAACGACAAGATTTGCATATTTTTCTTGACTTTACATTTATGGCACACTTTCCGTCTGAACAGCATTTCATAAACTATCCAAAAAAAGTTACAAAACATTATTTATTATCAATATTTAAGTTATTAGTTTTCATATCAATTAATACCTGATATTGTAATGCATTTCTACGAAAAAATACTTTACACGACACACAAGTAATGGCACCAAAATTTCGCCCTAAAATTACAGTTAATTAATAATTATTAAATAATACAAAACAACCATGATCAAAATATTGACATTACCTACGGCTCTGTCACCGCAAACATCACAGCAAACCAATACTCGCTTTCGTCGCATAGTATTAAACACGTATGACTTATACACACAAATCAATTTGATTTATCACTTTGTTATTAAAATAAATAATATTTATTTATATAAATGTTTTTAAATTTTGTAATCAAATCTCAATAATATATTAATTAACTAAATTTATGGCACAGTTATGTGAATAATATGTATCAGTATATTGTAACTATCAAGAATCGCCATACTATAACTGAAATACTGGCAACAGTGTTGTGTCTATGTAAGTTTGCATTTTTACATACGTGACTTATGGTAAATTATCACATCCTTATATACCCTAAATTATACCATAATCTTATCTATGATACCATGATTACCAAATATGTCCGGCATAGCTCAACAACGGCAGCAATGCACTTTTTTAGTTTAAAGGTCAATTGTCACTATTATAGTAGGGGTTATTAAATAATTCTATACACAGCAAATATTGCAGCAAAATGGGTGCATATTTTGTTATATACGGTAATTATATTGTATAATTTTTATCACATTACTTTTAGTACAATGGAGTACTAATATTGAGTTTGTAGGGTTAATATACCATTTAATATAATATTCCCATCTAGATGATTATCTAAAATATTATTGTTCTTTTAAAATATATATTACGTTATGGAGCAGCCGTCCTATACCTTTAGTCACTATTTTATTTTCCTAAACTATTGTATATTTGTTAGTGTCGTCGACTCACTTATCAGTAGTCGTCGACTATCTATTTGTTAATCTTTATATTGAATAT